GCTGGTCGTAACCTGAAAAATTCGCAAGCAGAGGCGTTCGTATCCCGAGGTATCACTGTATGTGCATGCTTTAAAGACCGGTTTGCTTTTTCCATGCCCATGATCTGGTCTTTCACTTTGCTCTATTTACAAAAAATCTCTTTTACTAGTGCAATAGTTTAATTGTGGATTTTAATCACTCTGGCACACCAGCGGTGGGACCGAAAGGGGATGGATAAAGATCCTGAATGAGTAAGTGTACAGTTAAATGCTTTTGCAGTGGTCCACGTCGTACGGAAATCCAGTGGTAAGAAGAAGCCATAAAGCATGTCTGGTACAGAGAAGGCACACGCAGCAAGGCATGGCACAATTACTGTGAATTGCGGCCCATGTGCATTCAGCCCTTCCTGTTTGATTATGATGAATCCAATGATAGCTATTCTGCGCAAAAACGAAAGCCCGGGCCTCTAATCCTGTCATTTGGTTAACCAGTTTGGATCTATGGGATGCTGCAGCTATTAAAGAATCTCCTCTACCTTCTTGGAGGCGTGATTAGCTCCTGATATTTTCCCACACTGCCACTCAGTCCTTGGGAAGCAAATCATGTTGTAGTCGCAAACATGGCACTTTATCTTTGAGAGTCGGAGGGAGAAAATGAATTGCAAAAATGAGTGCTCTCCATTTCTAATGCATTTGATTACGCTTCTGCTGGGAATATTCAATTTAAGGTGTCTCTACCAGCGCAGGTCCTCCCCCCTCCCATGCTCAGATGTGCTCAGAAGCCAAGCTCTGAGGGCTTGCTGCTGTGGGAATGAAGCTGGGGAGATTCAACATTATGCAGCTGCCACTGAGCCATTTTAAGCCTGGGAAGGGGGAGCATTTTTATTCCTTCCAACCTAACAGAATATGATCAAGAAGTGATTTTAAATTGGCTCAGGATCCCCTCTCTCTCCATCAGCAGAATAACTCTCTAAAAATAGAACAGAGAGGGACCGATGGCGAGGTGGTGGGAGAAGCCATCAAAAGAAAGATTGAGGTAGAAAATGGGCCAAATCAGGCCAAAGGTTGCAGAAGAAAAGACTCCCAAATTTCCCTAATGCAGTGTTGTCCAAACTTGGCCACTTTAAGATGAGTGGACTTCAACTCCCAGAATTCCCCAGCCAGCATTGGACAACACTGGCCTAACGCTTCCTACAGGGGAGACAGGTGGGCAGTGGCTCAGAATGCCAAGGTCTGCTTCATTTTAACCCTGCTTCCTCTTCTTTTCTAGTCATGATAACCCCAAAAGATCCAATGCAGCTCACCCTGGGGTTCCCATATTGTCAGTCCCATCAGGTAGGCCAGACTAGGAAACTAAAGCCATAGAGGTCAGCACTCCTTCAACCGTAAAGCTATGGTAAGAGAATCTTACAAGTTTGAATGTGTTTCACCCCCTCTCTCACTTTATCTTCATGTGAGCTAGGAAGCGGCTTATCTGAGTTGTTTTCTCAAGTTAAGCCCCACTTATCTGACCATTACTGGTAGTGGCTTTTCCTCCTGTCCTTCAAGGCCATTCCCTATGCCCTCTGCATATATGCATGCAAATGCACAGACACAATACAGGGGGACAACCGAAATGCATGCACTCGTAGAGGAAATAAATACATATACACCCATTTGGATGAGAACCATGTGCACACACGTATAGGCAACTTGTATACACACACCTCGCTAGTCCCTGGAGAGAAAGGGTACCCACACCCACGCATGCACCCACCCACAGATGCAGCGTGTTACTTTGTCATGCAGAAGAAAATACAGATTCTGCTAGTAAAATTTCTGCTAGAAAGAGTTCCAGAAACCAGGTTTCGCAGGCTCTCCCTGCCCTGTTTTCCCATGAAGATGCAGGAATGGTTCTTTACAAGCTCTCCTCAGCTTTGGGTGAACTAAGTCTTCCTTATCTGAGCTGCAGCTAATCTTCCCTGGAAAGTCACGCGCCCTCATCTGCAGCTCAACAGTGCCCACAGCAAACTGGGATGATGCTGAAACAACGATACCTGTGCCTCATCATCCCACAAGCACCATCCTTCTGTGCCTGAATCTTGACATCTGACACAAGAGATGCGATTCACATGACAATGTCATCCCACACCTGCCATCCTTTGCCCCAGCCCATCTCCCCTTTGAATGCCCACGTGTAGAGAGGAAGGAAGGTGGCCTTGAGGGAGACTGGCAAGCTTCGCTGCCAAGGCAAAAGGGGCTGAGACATTTCTGAAGTCCAGAACATCCAGATCACATTCAGAAGCGACTCAGAGAGACACCTCCCTAAATCCCTGAACCACAAGGAGGAGGCAGAGGTACAACACAATCAGACTTGCAACACTGTTATTATAGCCAATCTCAATAAAAAATCATTTTAGCCATCCTATGATTTCTTAGTCTGGTCTCCCTAGCGGGGCTGACACCATGCTATTCCAGTGATTTACAAAAGGACATTTACGTCGTCTTCCGCCGTCTCGTCAAGAAGCTCGAGAGCCCTGCATCCCAGCTGGAAGAATTTCACCCATATTTCCTGTTCCCTTTCTAGCCTTCTCACTGATTTATTTTTTCTATCCTACAGAATTTAAATGGTTACCATAAGACAGGGTATTTTTAAAGGGAACACTTTATTGATTTATTTAAAAGACTTCAATGGTTGCCCATCTGATATCCCATAACTCTGGGTGGCTCACACTGACAATAAAAACATTAAAAAAAACAACATTAAAACCAGCATTCAAATAAAACCAAAAAAACCTTAAGGCGCCCTAAAACAACACTCCTCAATAGATAAAAAAATCACAATAACTGGGGCCTGCTGGATCCCAGGAGGGAGGGTGTTCCACAAGCCAAGGGCCACGACTGAGAAGGCACACTTCCTAGGTCCTGCTGGATGACAACATTTAAGAGAAGGGACCTAGAGCAAGTCCACCCTATTCCATCTGGTGGAATGGGCAGATACCCTCCAGGAGAGACGGTCCTGCAAATAACCTGGCCCCGTGCCATGCAGGGCTTTAAAGGTGGGAACCAGCACCTTCAATTGCACCTGGAAGGAAACTGGAAACCACTGCACTGGTACACCAAGAGTGCAATACAGGCAAATGGTGTAATCAAGGGGCACCCAAAACTATGCACACACTGCATTTTGGACCAGTTGTAATGGCCTTCAAAGGCAGACCCATGTAGAGCCTATATCAGCATTATCCAATCAGGTATCATTAGATATGTTGGCATTACAAAATATTACCAATGGCCATGCTTTCTCCTAGAGCATTCTGGGAGCTGTAGTCCCAACATACAGAATGGACTGATGCACTACACTGTGATTTAATGTCTCTGAACGAATACGTATTTGCACGTCTGCTCTTAAACCTACCTGCACCTTGCTTGGAATGGCAAATTTGTTCTGTTCAGCTTTCCCAGGAGTGTGGATAGCAGTGAGAGGTGGAGGCCAAGAATGGGTCATCTCCTAGCAATGAAGCAAACAAACACAGGAGTATATTTTCAACTGAGGACCAATCCATTGGCTTTCCCTTTGCTTTGCTTTTAATTTTAGAGGGATCCCCAAAGTCATATTGGTGGGACTCACAGGCTGTGCTAAGTCATAACATTGTTTGGGATTGGTTCAATATCTTGTGGGGACACAGCCACTGTGACTTGTAAACTATGCTTCAGGTATGAAAGTGAAGAGCGCACCAACCAATGGTGGTTTATTCAACAGAAGGCAGTTAAAAACAGAGTGGAATGGGATGTGTGAAATCAGAGGTGGACTGCATTTTTTGAGCTTGCCTGCTTTTGTGCTTTTGTGTGTGTATTTTTTTGACTTCGATCTTTAATGAAAAGCAGGGACATTTGATTTTAATTTGTTTGTGTATTTCTTTGTTTATTTGCAGGGCTTACAGGTTGCTCCAATCCACCAACTCTGAGCAGCATATAACTCATCAAGATGTAATTGGAAGTAAAGCAATACAATCAATTTTTAAAAAGGTTACAACACTCATGTCAATAACCCAGACAAAGTAACATAACTATTTTCTTTAAAAGTGTACATCTGGAATGGAAAGAAAGTGCTTCATCTAACATATCTGTGCAACGCCTTCTCACACCATCATGATTAATGGGTATAGATTGCCTCAGCCATGTCTCCCAGTGATCATTCAGACAGAACAACTTTTGACCCAATCATTGCATAACCTATAGATCCTGCATGTCATGACGATGATGTTACTTTATATTCGGTCCTTCCTCCAAGACCTCAAGACCACCTGACTTGGGCTCTCCCTTTATTTTATGCCCACAACAGCAACCCTCTGAAGTAGTGTGGACAGTAAGGAAGATGACCCTGACATAGATATGCAAGCTGTATTACCAAAGCAATGAGAGAAAAATCATATCTCAACTCCACAACAAGCAGATAACATTAGGAAGTGGTTCAGACAGACACCTCCCTAATTCACATGAGTATACGAAAGCAGAGAAGATCCAGCACAATCAGACTTGCAAGATTCTGTGATTACAGCCAATCTCAATAAAAGTAGTTTTAGTCTTTCTGTGGAGTTGATTCATGGCCTGGTCTACCTAGTGGGGCTGACTGGTATTGGATTGAGAGAGAGTCACTCATTTTCATGACTTGACCTTGGATCTGTTTGAATCCAACACCGTAGCCACTGTGCTGTACTGGCTGTTCCTTAAAGCTTTTGAGGGGCTGACCAGAATCACATCTGGGCTTATCTTCTGGTGCTCTGGTGAAAAGGGGACACCATTATTTCAAGCTGGATGCAGGAAAATTGAGTCTAGACCACGGCTTCATTCCAGAAGGCCAGTGTTTCCAAAATTGTGTTAACTAATGGAAAGGATTCAGGTTTCTTGTATTAAATTGTGCACTTGGAAAAAGAAGAAGAAAAAGACAGAGCTTTCAGAAACAATGCTTGAGAATTGTTGACTTTGAGGCTGATTTGGCTCAAGTGTCTTCATTCCTAAAAAAATAAAACTAAAGATTGAAACATTGTTTTAACTGGTTCCATTTTTTAAAATTGTATTAATGAGGGGTAGACATCAAACCAGTTCAGGACCTTCTTCTTCTTCTTTTTTTTTTTCACTGAAGCTGTTGTTATTTTAAAGGTAGATGTAGATGCCCTCAGGTAAAGAATGGAGAAGCATACATGCAGAAGATGCTAATGAGTGGCCACAAAAAAAGAAGTTGTGGTACAATTTGTCTCTAGGGCAGAAGAATTAATGGCTCCCACCGCTCTCAAAAGAATTGGAGAGAATTAGCAGGCAGAACAATTAATTCTGTGATACTCTTGAAGGAGTGAAGAGTCAGGATGAACTTGGTCCCAGAAATAAAGCAGACAAAAACATTTGTTTTAAAGTACAAACATATTCATCTTGAGTTTCTGCAAGAAAGGTCTCTTCCCTGATTTGGTCCTCACAGCAATTTGGTGAGGTAGATTGGATGGCAACTGGCCCATAGTTATCCAGTGGTTAACTTGGCTAAATGGGGTTCATTCTGATACCTTTACTACTGAGTAACACTTCTTGCCTTAAAGGATCAACCTGGCAAGAACCACTGTCACAAAATGGAGCTTCCATGCACAGAAACACTCAACTGAAAGAAGCATTGGGATAAACGTACCCAGAATATATTTCATTCCAGAAGAGCTTACCTATTAAGCCCTGAAAGAAAATGTCTTTGGTTTCATTAGGGGACAGAATGAAAACTGCCTAACAGTGCCTGCTTCTGGAATTATTCCTGAAACCATTTAGTTCTACTTTATGCACTAAGCCTCCAAACCAATAATCTGTATTTTTCCAAAAGTGTAGCCAAACTCCTAAAGAAATTAAACTCATCTCCCTCAGCCAGTAGCAGATTAGCGGTCAATTTAGCATACAGGAGGTTTCAAAACCTGAACTCTCCATTTCCTTGTTATATTCTAACTGATTTCACCTAATCCATGACTCCTTTTCATTAAAATGGGATACTAAATTATAACAAGATCATTAAATGGATGCACAGGACTGTGTTATGACTAAGGAAGCCGTTAGATCTGGCCAAATTTCTCCAAATTGCTTGGTGCAAACAAGAATATGGAAGCTTATTCTCCATTCTGTGAGAGGAAGTTGCCTGATCAATTCGGTTAGGTTTGAAAAAAAGAGTCGCCTCCCATGTTCTCTGTTAGATGGAACTATTTTTATAATCTGCCTTAAGGGCTTATCTACAGTAAGCAGAAAGATAGGAGATGTATTTCATAATAAATGAATTGATAAATCATCATGTGTCCTGCAAAAACACAGCAGCCACGTCGATCTTCCAAAGATGCAACCTTTTAGAAGGGTCTTAGATCAATGGTAGAGGATTGTCTTTGCAGAAAAATGGCCTTAGGTTTGCAGGCGTCTACAGTGAAATGCAAGAATGGTGTGGCAGATCTTTCAAAATTTAAGGATGATTGATGCACTTCCATATTTCACCCCACGGTCTACAAGAACAACAAGTAGAAGAATAAAAGAACATCCTTTATTTATTGTATGGATTGACTTATTTTTTCTATGATACAGCCAGTGGACTGAGTTGCAGATGGAGTTTAGAGCTTTTGACTCTTTGAGACTCTGGAACCTTCTCAACGTTTTCTTCTCTTCCAAAGGTAGGAAGTTAGAAAACCATCGCACCTAATTATGTCCCCTATGTATTAAAAGGGAGTTGGCCACTGGGAAATGCAGGACATCGTAGGAAAAGAGACTGTGTGTTTCCACACTCTCTAGAGAGAGAAGACTGTGCTGGGACTTCAAAAGTCACCTCTCTACTTTTCAGTGGTATGTGCAGGGGGATATGTTCAGTGCAAGGGAGGTGGGAAAATACTATTACCATGGGTATTCATGTATATTCTTAAAAACTGACACCACATGCTAGAAACCTTTCACAGCAATCTCTTAGGTGATACATCTTGCTTTCAGAAAGCACGAGCCATGAGGATGTAAAATATAGTACTCAATAATTGCTAATAAGTTCTTAAAAGACTTTTAATTTTGGAAAAAAATGGCCTTAATTATTTTTCTGGCTAATAGCGTCTTGGTTGTCTTCAGCTGGGTAGCACACACTGTTCATTAGCAATAGTTTAAAAGGGGGTCACATGAGAAAGCTAGAAAGACACACTTGTGAGGACCACCCAAGAGAACTACAATGTGCTAGCTAGTCCTACGCAGGGAATGTTATTCATAACTCCAGAAAATGTCAAGTGATGACAATTACCAGTGATCAGACAAAGCAGAACTGGAGTTAAACCTGTCAAACAACACTCTTCCGCTCCCCCTTCTCTTCCCTTCCCTTCCCTCCCCAACACAACATGCAATATATTATCATGTTCCAGCAATTACCAATGGGAGTTTTTGATCGTGCTTTGCTGGAGAGATGCAAAAGCTATGTGACATGTGCATTTTCCTGCTTGCTGCCTTGAGAAGAGGAACTCATATTTTGACAGAGATGCCCCCAGATGACAACTCAGCTCACAAAAATAGAGAGAAAGATGCAAGTCAATGAACGCTTCCCAACCAGGTCTTTTCAGAGAAGAACAGTGCTGCAGTTGGCTCTTCAAATGTGAGTATTGTCTTCCTGATACTTCCCACTTCCCACTTTAGGAAAATGTTAATGAGATTAACATTTCGTGACAAGGTTTCCTTTCTGAGACCAACAAAATCAGAGTTGCTCTGGCAGAAAGATAAGAGTGGCAACTATTTTCTTGGAAAGAGGCCTTAAGTGTGTGTGCTGCTCTTGATCCTTTAAAGTCAGTGAAAAGAAAAGAGGAGAAAAATAGCAGCTCCATGGTGACATCTGAACAACACACCTGAGGTTCAAGAGTTGTATGCTAATCTGCCCTCAGGGCTTCTTTTGATGATGTATTTCCCACTTGTTAGGGCCTCTTTGCATGCGGCTTCTGAAGGTGAACATCCCCAATCGTTCAAGGGCATACCGAAAATGAGATGCGTCTACATTCAAGATTGGCATCAACCCTTTGGAATAACTGGGATCCAGGAATGGATGCATTTGGTCAATTTCAGTTCTCTGTCTCCAGTTCATTCTGTCCCAAGTTTGGAGTTTTTGAGACTTTTTGGGGAAAAGAAAAGGCTGCTTGAAAATGGGCCTGCATATTGGGGTCCCTAGTTTTTAAACCTAGAGATGTTTAAACGCAATGTTCAACCATGCATACATAGATAACATAGATTTGATAACAGTAGCTTGGAGTGCTGCATGTTGCAATATTTAGAGATACGGTTCTTTCAAAGGCTAAATGTGGTTAGGACTGCAGTATGATTTGATTGGTTACACAATTAGGTAAGTTTGAACCCACATGCACACCAATCACATTTATCTTCTGTTCCTACTGGACAGTTGACGAGTCCAATCTCAACACAGGAAGTCCAATATCACCCCCCAGAATTCCCTGGTCCCAATCTTCCTCCTTGCCATCTCTGTCA